CCGGCGTGCAATCCACTATGGATGGCGCTGCTTGACTTCCGCCAAACTGCCCATCGATTGAATGGGTGCTGCCTCCAAAGGATTTGATCTCTGCCACTTGGGTCCGGAGCTGAGTCACGTCGGCCTCGAGCGGGTTGGGGCACTGCGGATAGGTCGTGACGTGTCAGTATCTAGATGGGCGCACATGGGCGCTCACGGCACTGACTAGGCCGATGCATGCAAGATGGGAAGTGTCCGCCAGTGTGAGTGCGCGTGTCTCGTTTGCACCTGGCCGATGGCCGTGCAGCAAGCCGTTGACGTCTCTGAGAGGTGGCGGCTCTGGTATGGCCAAAATCCCGCCGAGGGAGTGTTGGCGGGGCCCTCGAGTGCGGCATTCCGCGCCTCGATCACATTCGAGTGACCTCCCCTGCTCGCAAGTACCCCCGGTGCCACTCGCTAGGGAAACGAAGCCTGTCCAGCCCTTTTTGGAACAGTCACTGTTGAAACAGTCATTGCTGGAAGGCAGAGAGCCTGTTGTAAACTTTCGGGCGACCGCCCCCTCGTCACACCACCTGAGCTTGCACACCGTGTCGGCTTCCAACTGCCCCGTGGACGTGGCAGACCGATTCATCGACCCGTAAAATCTGTTGGTCCAGCCGAAGTGGTTTGGGCAAATGGGGTGGTCGGGGACGCCGTCGCTGTTGCAGTCAACAACCTCGGCCAAGCGCCGCGACGGGCGCCCCAAGGAAGCCTCGACGTCAGGGCCTGCGGCGAACCTCGTTCCGCCCGTCTCTCCCGATTCCACACCCGCGGCCTCACCGGCGGGCAGAAGCAGCCCGCCGGCGGCTTCCAGCCGCTGGACGTGAAAGCGAGAGAAGACAAAATTGACCGCGTCGCCCGACGGCACCTCGTACATCTCGGCGGAGCCCTCGATCGCGCCCTCAGCCATCGCACTTGTCCGGAAGCGACCTTCCTTCGGGTAGACATCGCGCTTGCCTACTCAAGACAGGAACGTGAGCAGCGCACATCCTAATGTCTAATGTCCGTCCCATGATGAACAGATGCCGTTGCGAGGGCCGGGCGTCGAGAAGCTCTGTCCCACGAGCCCTGCGGCGCGCACAGTGTGGGATCCGGGGCGGGCTGGGGCGGGGCCGGAGGCATGGATTCACGAGGACAGTGCGACAGAAGTCGAATCAGGGCAGCAGAGAGCGCACCGTGCGTCTGCCTGGGCGCAAGCTTCGCGCCGCCGACCGCGCGCAGTGAGACGTCGAGGCGGTGCATTGGGCCCGCCAGGTGGCCGAAAACGTGGTTGCCGCGCACAGTCGCTTGCCACTCCGGCGTCGTGAAGGTTGCGCTCGAGTGCTTGACCTGGACGACCAGATTGCCGCAGGACCGCGACCTGCCGGGGCCGAGAAAGAAGGCCCGCTTGCCGCAGAAGCCCGTGACCATATTCAGGCCAGTGTTGTAGGCGTTCAGCTCGTTCGCCAGGAAGGCCGCGTGGATGAGCTCGCCTGCCTCTCGCCCGGTCTCGGCAACGATGTGCACTTCTGTGATGAAGGATCCGTCCACAGTCAGCGCGCCGTTGTGGAGCGTGAAGGAGGAATCCTGCGCGGTGGAAGCTGTGTTGAGGGCCTGCCACCTGCCAGAGGGTGTCGTACGGCCATGTGCTGGCCGGCACGCCTCTATCTTGATGTTGACCGCAAAGCCCGGCGCAGAATGGAAGCTGTACGTCGCGCTGTGGCGGTCAACGAGAGAGCGTGAGTATGGGCTGCGCGGATCATTCCCTACACAGTGCACCCTCGCCCGTTGCGTCCGCGAAAGTCAGCACGGCCGCCACGGGCAAAGTGCAGGTGGGGGTCCTTGACGCCGTCGGCATCGAGGCACTCGGAATCGGATGTCTGTGTGCGTCGTCGCCGCTCTGAGTTAAAAGGGACGAGAGCGCCACGGCCGGTCGCTTTGAGCTGATCGATCTCAGCAGTCCGGGCCGCATCCCGCTTCTCCAGCTCCAAGATCTTTGCGTACATGCGCTCCATCTGCGAAGCCTGCAACGCGACGCGCTCCTCCAGCACCAGGCGCGATTTCTCTGAGACATTCTTGTCCCCTTCAACCGTGGAGCTAGCAACGAGGCCGAGAAGCAGCATGTGCCTTGCCACGGCCCCGGGGGGAGTGGGCAAATCGATCGCGGATCGGGGCCGTTTTTGACGGGGACGGCCGCCCAATGGATGGCTTCGTTCCCTGGGTAGAGGCTTTGCAGAGAGTTTGCGCCGCGGCGGCCGCGGTCGCAAAGACCAACCGTATCCCTATCAACACACCAAGCGAGCTGTGAACATGCTCGCACCCTTCAGTGTAACACGTCCGGACGTGGGATGACGGGGCACACTCGCGGGAAGCGGTCTCTGGCACGGACGGACGGACGGGGCCCACGTCCTGTGAGCTGTGCGTGACTCGCGTGTGTGTCGCCTCGAATCGCGAGGGGATCGTGGCGGCGATCGTTGGACACGTCTTTTGACCGGACTTTCGTCTCTCGCTCGATACATACACGAAATACACAGTAAACGAGCGGTGTGTGAGGCGAATGAAAGATGTGAGAAGGTCGCGTCCGACCCCAGAGAGCAAAACGCCTCGCCCGCGCCCTGCTCTCGCCAGACTACCAGCGCGCCTCGTGCGCCCGCCCCCACCTGCCCCCTCCGCCGCCGCCCCCCCGCCCGCCGCCGCCTCCGCCCCTCCCTCAGTCGCGCCCTGCGATGTCGTCGTCCCGCTCGGCGAGCGCTGTCAGCTGCGTCTCCAGCTCGTCCGCTGACAGCCGGGTGAAGGCGAGGTTGTCGTGCCGCACGACGCACGCCTCGATGTCGTTCGCCTTGAGGTCGGCGCCGAGCACGTTCTGCAGGCAGGCGAGCGCGAGCTGCACCTGGAGGAGGCGGGCGGGCCACGGACGTGTGTCGCGGACATGTCCTCGCGCCTCAGAAGTGTCCTGGACGCGTCCAGGACACGCCGCGGGCCGAGCTGCACCGTATCGTCGTGGCTGAGCTTCGGGTCGACGGCCACGTTGGAGCCGGCGGGCGGCTTGAAGCGCTTCTCCAGAAAGTTGTTTGCCTCCTGCTCCTTCGCACCTGCAGGGCGGGGAAAAGACGGCTCGGAGACGGCTCGGAGTTGGCTCGCCTCCCGCTCCGCCTCCGCAGTCTCGCCTGCGGACGTGCTGCACTACATCCCCCCCCACATCTCCTCCATGTCTCCCCCCCATCTCCGCAGGCCTGCGGACGTGGCCTTGTAGCCGACGTAGTAGCCGGCAGGGTCACACCGGAAGAGCTGCGGCACCTGTGGGGCGGCGACGAGAAGGCTGGGAGACGGCTCGGGCGGTCTTGCCGGAGCAGCTCGCGAAGCCTTCTTCTCGCCCTCGACGTCGATGCCGATGATGATCATCGCAATGCCGAGCGGGCGCATGTTTGCGTGCTGCGTGTAGACCTGCGCGGTGTCGGCGGCTCGCTTTGCGAGGTACGAGACCGGGATGTCGTACCCGTTGTTGAACTTGAACTTTGCCGCCTGCGGTCGGAGGGGCAGGGGAGGGTCGGAGGGGGCAGGGCCGGAGGAAGGGTCGGAGGGGGGCGGGGGCAGGGGCGAGGGCGCGGGCGTGGGACGGCCGCGGTGCGGTGCAAGCAAGAGCGGGGCGCGCGCAAGCGTGTGAGGCGAATTCCGGCCGCGCGAACCCTCCACGACCGTCCACGGCCCCTTGGACCCAAAGGCAACTCCCGCGAGGCCACTCTTTCCCCTCGGGGGCCCTTGCGCGGGCGGCGCCAGAGTGTGTGCACTTGCGCGGCGCCGTGTCGGGCAACCGCTTTGGTCGGCGCCCCGGGGCCCTCGCGCGGCCCACTGGCCCTCAGATTCGCTCCTCGCAGGAAGAGAGAGAGAGCTCGCGCAGTGAGACTGTGGCGTGTTTGGCGGAGAGACGAGCAGTCTGTGTTGTGAGGCGTAGCAGCGGCTCTGGGCGTCACCTCCTCGCGCAATTTCTTGACGGAGGCGCGCGCGTCGGGCACGATGCCCGTCATGACGAGCCCGATGTTGGGCGTGATCGCGTACATGTTGGTCACCGACTCGGGATCGTACAGCTTGTCCGGCACCTTGCGCTGCGTGAGGACGACACACGAGTCGGCGCCCCGCACTCCGACGGAGGTGAGGCCCGAGGTCTTGATCGCCTTGAAGGCGTACTCGACCTGGTAGAGGCGCCCCTCGGGCGAGAAGATGGTGATGTGCCTGTCGTACCCCGCTGAGCTGCCCCGCGCCATCCTCTCCTGTGATCCTTTGGCACGATCGGCGTGTCGGCGGGAGCGGCTGCCGCCGGCTCGCTCAAGGTGTGAGACGGCGATACATGTGCGCCGCGTGGCCGGAGCGTGGTGGCGGGGCGCGGCGAGGAGAGGTGGGTGCGAGTGTTTGTGCGGCGGGCGCGCGCGACCTTGTTCGGCGCGCTGCGATGCCCGAGCGGCGCTGAGACGAGCAGAGGGGGCCGAGACGTTCACAGCCTCTCGAGGTTCTCGAGGTGGATATCCTTTGGCCGCGTTGGGTAGCACAGCCTTGTTATTGAGAAGAAAATACCGGCGGCGCTGTGCGCTGGTCTGTGAGAGGTTGAGGTGCGAGCCCTGGAGGCCCTGGGGATGGGGGGAGACTACCCGCGGGCCTAGAAGGCCCGCGCGCAGGGCCAGGGGGGTGGGACATTGAGACCGGTCATGATACATGAATGAGTGCGCGACACGCATGTTGCGAGCACCCCCTGCTTCAGCCAAGAGAATTTCTTTTCCTTCGCGCGAGCTGCTGCGCCGCACTCAGCCACATCGGGTGAGCGCTCGGCCGGCGCACTCTCGCCGCCGTGGCACGCACACGCCTTCTCCCCCACACCGCGGCCGCGCGTTCTCGTGGCGGCTCCGCGCCAGCACCGCGCCACGCCGGCTCTCTCCGGTCCAGAGACGAGAGCCGTCGGCGCTCGCGCGCGGAAGCCCTTCTTGTCGCTCTCGTCGAGAGCGTTTTGCGTTCTAGCTGGCGCCCGCCCGGCGTATGACCACGGCTGCGCCGCACACCGCCGCGGCGAGGCCGAGCCCTCCCAGCAGCCGTCCCGCGGCGGCATTCTTGTCCCTGATCATCGTCAGCGCGAAGGCGGCCTCCCCGTGCTGGCCGATGGCGGCCTGGAAGCTCGGCCGCTCCCTCGCGCGGGCCAGGTACGCACGCACCCCCTCCGGCAGCACGACCGGCGCGGCGCCGTACTCGTTGCAGCGCTGCACCCACTGGAGCTGCGCCACCGCCACCACGTCCGCGCGGCAGAAGGACGCGCCAAGCAGCCACGGCCCGCCATTCCGCTCCAGCTGGGCGTCGAGCCGGTCGACGGTAGCCTGGATGCGGGCCTGCACGTCGCTCAGCGACTTTGTGAAGTGCTTGGCCGACATGGCGGCCTGCTCACAGGAAGAGCCGTGAAGAGGCGCCACTCACACGCACAGGTGCCGAGCCGGGCGAGGGAGTGGCGGCCAGCTTCTTCTCATAGATGTCGTGCAGGTCCGGGTTCTCGGACTGGAGGCGGCGGATCTTGCGCGTCAGCATCAGTCTCTTTGCCGGCGAGCGGACCATCACCTTGAGCAGGCGGAGGGTGGCCTCGCCCGTGAGGAAGGCGAGACTGCCCGGGCACTCTGCGTAGAGCAGGTCGAGCAGCTCCTTCTCGTTGGGCGTCTCGTCGGTCCCGTATGCCCAACTGACGATGCTGCGGCTGTCGGTAACAGTCTCTCCGGCCGCAGTCCTCAGCGCAGGGATCTGGCCCGCCGGGCTGAGCCGCATGTACCATGGCGCGAGCTGCTCCATAGACGGCATCGAGACGTACTGAGACGTGAAGCGCACGCCGCGCTCCTCGAGCGCCATGCGCGCGATCCCAGCGTAGTACGAGTTGACCGTGTCGAAGAGGACGGCGTCGCTGCAAATCGACGGAGGGGAGGCGGCGGCGCAGGTCACGGGCATCAGCGCGTGCGTCCCCCGAATTACCGGACTAGGATACCTAGGTCGGCCAGGTGTAGATTCTTTTTGCTTGGGCGGACCTGATGCTGAAATTCTGCAAAAACCTGGCCGGCCCCTGCCCTGCCCCTACCTACCTACCTACCTACCTACCTACCTACCTTACTTATGGGAAACTAAAAAGAAATCATATGATGGGTGAAGGTGGCCAAGCTGCAGAACATGTGCGGGCCAGCGCCTATGACGCTCAAGGAGTGAGGCGCGGAGCGCCGCGCGCGGAGCGCGCCCCGAAGAAAATTTTGAGGGTTGTGGAGGGCTAGATGCGGCGTACTATCTCTATTTAGAGTTTGACTCACACGCTAGGAACCACTCGGCCCACCCACAGGCCCAGTCTCAAGTGGCAGCGCTCCGCGCCTACCCAGCGGCGCGCTCCGCGCGTGCTTTCCAGCGGCGCGCTCCGCGCGCGGTGCTCTGTCTGCGGCAGTACTACTGCATCTTCCGCAGCTCCACAGCAGGTATCAGCAGTGAGTTCATCGCCAGTTATCTGCGCCTTCCGTTCGTCGCTCTCGTGCTTGATCGTCAGGCCGTGCTCTCACGTCCGCCGGAGCTACCTTGGCTATCGGAACCATTTTGCAAGTTTGCCCGCCGACATGTCCCGGTCCGGCTCAGTCAATTCAATGTCGCTCGGCGCTCGCTGGCTCCGTGGATGCTTGTGCTGCTGAGCAATCCAGGCGCACCTTGGCAACCGGCGGCAGCGACTTGCGGCGTCAGCATTCGAACGGTTGTGTTGATTTGCTCTTGCTCCGCGGTATCTAGCCGGCGCGCTCCGCGCGTGTGTCTAGCTAGAGCGCGCTCCGCGCGTATGTCCGAGTAGCACCAGCGCGCTCCGCGCGCACCATAATCTCAGTGCCTATATAGCCACTAAAAGCTCGTTTCTGCAGCTTGGGAAGGTGGGGTACTATATCAACTAGAGTGATGGTTGGTGGTACTCTCCTGCAACCACAGTCCTTCCTGTGACATGGCAGGCCACTCTCTCAAGCCCTACAAGCATCACATCACCCATTTGGGGAGGGTTGACATCGTGATTTCCGCGAAAAATTCTTTTTCTGCTGTGGAAGAGGGAAAAACCCGACGAGAGGGCCCAGACCTACCCTACCTACCCCGGCATCAGGTCCGCCCAAGCAAAAAGAATCTACACCTGGGTCTGTGGTGGCAAATCAAGACACAAGAGACAGAGCTCACACAGAATCACAGCGGGGTGGGGGTGGGGGTGCGGCCGAGTCGCAATTCCTGGTTTTAGGTATGTTGTCGCAATTCCTGGGGTCTTGGCGTCTTGGATTCTTTGTTTGTCCGGCTTGCCCGCTACGTGCGGGCATCGACTCTCTCGAGGTCTCGCACACGAACGAACAAAGGAACCCCCCCCGACCCCCCCGGACCCGGGACCGCCGGCGCGGATCAATTTTGGAATTCTGCATCCTCTCACAGCATATTCATGTCGTTGGTCTCGCCGCCGCCGCCGCCGCCGCCGCCGCCTCCCGCCGCCGCCGCCGCCGACCCACCTCTCAGCGTCGACATCGTGATCATTGGCGCGGGCCTGTCCGGTCTCACCGCCGCCGCCTACCTCAAGAAGGAGGGCATCGAGTCGTTCCTCGTCGTGGACGAAGGTGGGCAAGGCCTGAGTGCTTAGATGCAGCACAGCCGTCCAGCGCCCACGCAAGCCGCCGCCTGCAGCGCTCCGAGTGCGGCAGCACGGCCCTGCCAGTGCATGCGGCGAGTGGCGTAGCTGCGCCTGCCTCCGCCACATTTCGGCACGCCTCGCAGGCGCTGTCGGCGGCACGTGGCGCGATCACGCCTTCCCAAACGCCGGGACCGACACCGAGGTGCGCTTGTCCCGTCCTTCCAACGCCGGAATCGGTCTCGGAAAGCGGCATGCTTGACGTGCATGTCTAGGTGCCGACCTACTACCCATCCTTCCTGCCGACGCCCGAGACGTCCTCGCAGTATGGGAAGCGCGACGAAATCATGTCGTACTTCAAGCGCGTCGCAAAGGAGCAGATCGGCGAGCACAAGTTCCTGTGGGGCGTCAGCGTCGCGTCAGCAAAGTTTGATGGCAGCTGGTGGGCGCTGTCGGACGCTTCCGGCACCACCACCCTGCGGTGCCGCTTCCTGATGCCGGCCATCTACTCCATCTCCTGCAAGTGGCCGCA